CTCTTTAAGCGGAAGGAGATTCAAGAAGGGTGCTTCTCTCGGAAGGGATTAATATATTTCTCAAGGGATCTCAGCTGGTTCCTCCAACAGCAACTTGTTATCAAAAGAACAACAAGGGCTTCGGCCCCTGAGTGGCTCTGGCTTTCGGTCTTTCCATTGATGCCTTTCAGACTGCTCCCGCTCTTGCCTTTGTGACGTCAACTACCATCAGCTCCTTACAGAGGAGGCCAAATGAGCCTCCTAAGCTTGAACTTTCACCTCCACAACTGTGCAGACTTCATTTTTCAAATTTTTAAATTTAACATGTACAAGAAAGGGGTGATAAACAATACAGTGGATGTGTCAATTAAAAAAAATACTACAAAAAAGGACACAGATATCTCAAAATACTCTCCTTTAAGCACACCTATTCTATTATTCTTGGTACTTTCTGAAGCAGCTTTGGAAGTTCTATTTTATGTCTCTATAAGTGTGACAAAAATATGCCTAATTTCGAATACCAACCAACAGAAAGGCTGTCACAAAAATATTACACTGTCTCCAGCCATCCTATTCACCGGACCTGGGACCATGGAATTTTTGGCTCTTTTTGCAAGCCAAAATGAACATGAGAGGTAAATGTTTTGAATCAATTCAGTACACTCGGGCTGGCCAGATAGCTCAGTAGACTAAAGCACCTGCTTAGGCAGGCATGGGAGACAGGGTTTGATCCCAAGAATGCCCCCCTAGCCCTGACTCCGGAGAGTGCTGAGATGGCCACAGAGACTGAGCATGATGGTGCTTGAGAGGCTGAAAACAGGAGGATCACTACTAGTCTGTCTGTGTTGTGAGACCCTGTAGACCCTGTACTAAAAATACAGAAAAAAGAATTCAGTAACTGAGGCAACCATGGCAGCACAACTGAAAATACTCATAGGAGTACTTTGAGAATTGCTTTATAAAATGGTCAGAAAGATGGGGCAAGTGTATTGAAGCAAAAGGGGGTACTTTGAGGGGAATTTCTGACAATGTGCCTTTTACTATTATATATATATATAATTGGCATATATATATATATATATATATATATATATATATAATTTGGTTGTTGCAGGGTCTCACTATGCAGCTTGCACTCGTGGTGATGCTCCTGCCTTCAGCCTCCCCCTGCTGGGATGACGGGTGTTCGCCACTATGCCCGGACTCTGTGGCTGGCTACCACTTTTGAGGCACCTTTAGCTCTAATCACCTATTCATTCAGCAACCACTTGCTGAATGATTACTGAGTATAATAGCCAGACATCGCACTTGATTCTGAGCACTTGAAGAGGGGTACCTGAGGATGATGACAACATTCCTTTCCCGGCCCAAGAAGCCAGTGAAGTCAACAGCCTACAGCAAGGCTTAGAGTGACAGCCCTCGGGAAATAAAACAGCGCACCCACACTGGGAGGTAGCAGCCCACTTACAAATCCTGCGGCTCACTGAGTAATAGCGATAGAACTTGCCTGAGTGTCTGCCTGATACAACTGGTTTCCGTGACCTGAACTTTTGAATAGGGTGGATATATAAAAAAAAGTTTGCAAATTTATCTGCAGACTATAGCTGGACACTTAACAAGCACATAAATCAACTTTTGTTATAGTCTTCTGCTAAGTGACCCCTGTGAAAAGGTGCATAAAATAAGTCTTGTCCTCAGAAAGTCTGAAGCAAAAATTAAATGATTTTTGCAGTTGTGTGGTATGCAATCCTGTGAAATTTTCACCTAAAATTTCTATTTACAATCAGACAACGAATTTTTTTAAGAAACACATTGTTTTCCTTCTCTTGTTCCAGCAATGGGGAAGCTTAGAACCAAATGCTCCAGCGGTAATCGTGCATATTATTTAAGAAACTTGTGCTACTTATTCTGATAACACTTCTATTTATTAAAATGGCTTTGTTGTTTAGGAATACAATGATAAATTACAAATTAAAACCACAAAGATGAAGTTACAATTTAATTATGGTATACTTAGAATTCTCTATAAAAATAGAAACTTTGTTTGGTAAAGCAAATAATGGTTAAAATGAACCTTTGGTACTGGTAACTAAAACTGTTTTTATTTCATTGGGGCAAGTAAAATTCATTTCAAAAACTGAATTTCTTTCTCTCTTTCTTTGTCTATCTCTTTTTCTCTCTTTCTTCATCTTTCTTTCTTTTTCTTTTCTTTCTCTCTTTCTCTTTCTCTCTCTCTTTTTCTCTTTCTCTCTTTCTCAGACTCAGCCCACACTGAGGGCAAAGGGCTGACATGGCATGTGGTGCCAGAGGTCAAACTGAGGTCCCTACACTTTGCCTAAGTTTGCCTAAGCAGGCACTTTATACAACACTGAGCTACCTCACTGGCCTCTGAATTTCTTTCAAAGTTCAATTTACAAGGTCAAATCCAGATGAACATGAGTTGAAATATAGAAGATACAGAAAAATCAATGATTTATTAAGATCGATCTGCTGTTACATGGACAAAGTAACATGCCTTCAAATCCCACTATGCGCATCTGCCAATCTTGACACCCATCTAGGGTAGCAACGTGCACAGGTGACGTAAATATAAACCAAACATTGAGTTTGAGAAGTAAACATTCTACTTATAACTGTGTGGGACAAATATCTTTATTCTGAATATGTATGAGATCACATATAAAATAATTGTACTTTACAATAAAAGGCGAAGGTTTACGTTACTATTTCTCAAGATTATATGTGTGAGGGCAACAATTAGTAAAGAAATACAACATGACGATTAGATAAAACATGGTTTCAAATCTATATGAATATCCTCATTTAGTTATGCAGACATTTGTCCTAGTGAAATTCAGGTTTATAGTAATAAATGAGTTCTAGAAATAATGCCATTTAAAATTTTTCTAAGCCAAGAAAAGCAAATTATTTTTTCTTAAGCCATTAAAAGCTAGTTTTTCCTGGTTATGTCAGTAAGAAATAAATCTGTCAGAGTCTTTCCTTTAAAAAAATTCATTTTCCAAATCAAGCATCAGAAACCACACATAAGAAATTCAGCTAAAAAATACTATTTTCCAAGGAAGAACCCAGAAAGTAACTTTGGATTAATTATACCTTTTTAAATTCTTTCTTACTAAGTTTTCAAACTGTAGTCACTTTTAAAAAATGTACTAAATAAAATAAAGTCTCACAAAATGACACATACTAAGGAAAATAAGCTAGGCTACAAAATATAATGGGATGTTTTTATTTTATTTTATTTTATTTTAGGGAAGGATCTACAGGGTGTTCAGGGTCTCACTACTAGATCAGACTCGTAGTGATTCTCCTGTTTACAACCTCCCAATTGCCATCTCAGAGCACCCCAGGGGCGGGTCCAGAGATCGAACCTCCAGCCCGTGTGCCTGCTTGCAGGCACTTTAATCTGCTGAGCTATTTGGCCAGTCCTAATGGGATGTTTTGATATTTATATTGGAAGGTGTTTGGCTGTGACCCAGATCCAGTAAGTAAAGTTTGTATTCCTGGAACCAATGGACCTTGAAAATAAGATTAGAACTGCATCTTTATAAAAAATAAGTGTACTATTGTTAATGGTTTATGAATTTAAATGTTGGATTGATTTAATAAAAGCCAATTGCACAATTCAAGTTGGCAACTCTTTAAGTCATAGCCTTCTGAATAAACTGAAGTCTATGGAAAAAGTGTCAAAGTAGCAATTCCATTCTCTTTTCTACAGGGAATTTAAAGAATTTTATGATATCTTGAAGCCAGCAGATTTTAGTTCTTATTAGAATGCCAGAGTCAACCTTTCACAGTGCAAGATGTAATGGCATTTAAGGAACCAAATCTAACAAAAAATACATGGCATAATATAGAAATATAACTAAGGGTATTCTACGTATGTGTAAGGAGTATATAATTAAAAGCTTTAGTAATGTGAGCAAAAAGCTTGACTTTTACTCAGTAGTTTAAAATTTGGTGAAATGTACATTAAAGAATTCTTGTCAAAACTGAGAGCATCAGCTTCTGGGAAAAGAAGAATAGGTCTAGACATCAATACATATATCTAAGATAGTTTCCACATTGATTGTTCTTTGACAATAGTTAAGGTGTTAGTGCTCTTAAACTAATAGTAAATGCATTAACAAAAGCTACCAGTAGATATTTGTCTAATCTCAGTTTATGGACTGCCTTTCTGAGAAATATGCTTTTGCACACGAATGCCGAAGAGAGCACATCTAAGGAATAGAGCACATCTAAGGAATATAATTCAAGGCGATGCTATCCCTTATAAGGACTCTTAAAGGCATACTCCAAAAAAATTAAAAGGTGAATGACAAAAATCATTTGAGTTTATATATAACAAATGTATTTTACATGTAACAATCTTTTGTTCATTAATAAGGGGAAAGAATCCCAATAGAAAATTACTTGAGGAACTTACAATATTAAAAAAACGATGTACATGTGACCAATAAGGATGTTGAAATGTTTAACATTGCCTTAACATAAAAATCTCACAATTTTCTCATTAATGAATGAATTACTTAATTATTATAGGACACAGTATTTATTTATTTATTTATTTATTTATTTATTTATTTATTTATTTTTGCGGTACTAGGGATTGAACTCAGGACTCTGCGCATGCCAGGCAGGAGTTTATTCTACTGAGCTCTTTCCCCAGCACAGACAGGATATTTTAAAGCTTACTATTTTGACATACAGTCCTTTTCCTGGAGACAAATTTGTCAAAATGATTAGGAGACTTAAAAGTATGCATATTCTTTTTAGAAGATTTATTTCCGGAATTTACATTTGAAGATAAGTAACTAATAAGAATTGTACTTAAAGTCTTTTCTTTCTTTCTTTCTTTCTTTCTTTCTTTCTTTCTTTCTTTCTTTCTTTCTTTCTTTCTTTCTTTTTGAGACAGAATCTCACTATTCAGTTCAGGCTGGCCTTGGGTCACTTTTGTAGCTCAGGATGGTCTTGAACTCGAAACTAGCCTCAGCCTCCTGAGTGCTGGGGATTATAGGTATGCACCATCAAGCCTGGCTGTGCTTAAAGTTTTTCAGAAAAAATATTCTCTGCACCTTTATTTATAAGGTCAAACAGTGATGATTTCCTAAATCAATGAGAGTAATATGCAACAGAATAAAAAACATTCATAAAGTGTGATTTGACAGCTTTGCTTAGTCTATATTTGTACTAATATTTTCAATAGTAAAAGATATCACTATTCTGTCTCCATTTTTATTTATTTTATTTTACTTTATTTTTTTGCGAAACTGGGGACTGAACTCAGGCCCTTGAGCTTGCCAGGCAAGTGCTTATTCTACTGAGCTATCTCCCTGGCCCCTCCATTTTTAAAGAATATTAAAAAATGGTTTTACTAAAAATTTTCAATAATCCTTCAGTTTGAGACATCCTAATGCTTGACTGCTTTGTAGTCCTCTGAAGTTTTTTTTTTTTTCTTCTTTGGTATTGGGAATGAACTAAGGACCTTACGGTCCTCAGTTGGCCACTGATCTCTATCTTCAGTCCCAAAGGTCTTTGAAATGCTGGACAGAGAAACGACAGAAGCAACCATCACTGCTTCTCTTTTAGGTTGACATCTGCAGCCAAGAAATATTTTTCACATGTTCATTTTATACAATATTTGTTTTGTTCTAGGAAGCACTCTAGGAGGCTTGATGTTTTGCATAACAGCTGCTGCAATGTCCATTTACTTTCACCCAGCAGAGCTACTTTACAGCTTGACCCTGAGGGTATGAAAAGAAGCGTTCCATTTTGCTTGAAATTCAGAGAAACCAAATGTCTATGATATTTTTCAATTTGGTGTAGAAAAACAAGAAATAAAACAATATTTGTTTTAGTGACTCTTTCATCCTTTTAATTAAGAATTCTTTATAAACCATTTATTTAAGTAGTCTAGTCTAGAATTTTGCTGATCATTAATGCTCAACTAATTGGTCTGCACTTCTTCAGGATCTTGTTGGTCCTTTAGAGCAGAGACTTACTATGCAGTTCAGGCTGGCCTTGAACTCACTGTGTAGCCCAGGCTGGTTTCAAACTCACAATGATCCTCCTGCTTCAGCCTCCTGAGTGCTGGAATTTCAGGTGTGTGCCACCACATCTGGTTTAGGATCTTTTTGAAAACTGGAATATTTGCTTCTCTCTCATTGTCTAAAACACTAAGAATACTTTAGTAATGACTCCATCAGCGCAGTCTTGGCAAGTAATTATGTGAATGCACATACTTTACACAGGTAGTTGCTGTCTTTTCTCTTATTTGGAACTTCAATTTCTTTGTAATTTTTTCCCCTCAATACTGGGGATTGAACCGAGGACCTTCAAAGTAAGTTACATCTCACAAATCACCAACTTGTCTGGGCTGGGCTCCTGCTTCAGGCTCCCAGAATATTGGGATGATGTTTGTGCACCACCACACCCTGAATTTAACTATTAATTTTATATCTCTCTCTTTACCCCCCATGGAAGTAAAGTAAAATGGGTTAGTTTGCTGTCTCTGTTGTTTTAGCACTACAGTAAAAAGTGGGGTTAGCAGAAGTCATCTTTGAACTAATATGTTTTATGATCGCTACTATTTGGGGTATGATTAATATGTGGCAGACACCATGCTTTTGTAGATGCCAAATCACTTAAGGTTCACAACATCTCAACTGTAATTTTTGGTTTTACAAATGGAGAGACAGAGGCTGCAGCCATGTGTGGACCTGGTGACTTCGCAGAGCTGTAGCACTAACAAGAAGCTAGCAGATCTAGCGTCAAACCTCAGTCAGACTAGTCCTCAAAGCTCATTCCAAATCCAACACACTGAAGTTTTGGCTTTGCTGTTAGCAATGAGAATGTTTATTCTCAAATAAATCCGTAGGATCCTGACACAGCAGCACGAAGGAAGAAGTGCTCATTTAGAAGTGAGACACGATGTTTGGAAGGCTACTTTAAGACCCAGAGAGAATTGTAAGGTGTTCGTAGAAAAGCAGTTCATAACCCTGTTCTACAATATGCCATGTCCCAAGAACACCATTAATTTATAATATGGACCTATAAAATTCTAAAATTCAGCTGCTTTTCCTTTACAACAACCTTTATTGTTATAGCATTTCGTTTAGGTATGTCTACTTTGTTCTTTTTTTTTTTTTTTTTTGTAGACCTGTACTCACACAAACTTTAAAATGTGGTCACACTGGATTCTGAGTGTATTCCTCACCTGCCTTATAGATTGACTCTCACAAATCAGATGATTTTCAACCCTTCTTCTGAGTGTGGATTGTGAATTCCTGGGTGCTTTCAAAATTCTTTAAACATACAACCCTCTTTTGAAGAATGGCCAGCAGGATTAGCATTCATCTTTGGTAAGCGCTGTGAGTACCTCTGCATTCCTTAATCATAATTACTTTTACACAAAAGCTTGACTGGGTCATTGGGTCTTCTTTGTAAGATGGTGTTTCAGTCATTGCCAGAAGTCTGTTATTCCAGTAATGTTAGCCATGACTCAAAAAAAAAAAAAAAAAAAAGAAAGGTCATTTCAAGAATATAAAGTATTTTATTAGGCAACTATTCTCTTTCTATATCCTCTTTCCTTTCCCTAGGGATTAAAAACAAGTTCTCCCAAATTCTTCAAGTTCTCTACACATAATTGTGAAATCACCGGAGGTATACACCAGGTCTTTTCTGTGCATTGTCTACTGTTCACTTCCTTATCATCCATCAAAAGTTACCAGCATTGGCATAATTGGTGCTCCAATGTCAACTGTAGAAATTGGAATAAGCAACTCTGTGGAAGTTTTCTGTTTGTAATGGGCAACCAAGTGGCTTTACAATTTTTTGTTGCTTTTCTTTTCACTCTTTTGCATTCAGTAATATTTCAGCTTCTCAAAAATAATTTCAATTCTCCAAGCTTGTTTCTTCCTATCTTCTGGCTCCTTCTAAATTATTTCAAACACTCAACAAGACTCTTTTGTACAATTGACATGGTATAAACAGAAGTTATTCCATTCTTCTTCCTAAATTGGACACTCAAGTTCCTGTAAGTCTCCAATACTGATGACTGCTTTGTGCTTCTTTCCAAAGGTCTCATCTAATCCAATGTGAAATGCCTTCTGGTAATTTGCAAATGTATTTTTGGCTTCCTTCTCCTTCTTGAATGTTGAACTTATATCCATCTCTAGTAATTTCTAGTTGAAAGTCTGATGGCATATTCAACTCAATATACTCAAAACAGAAATGTTATTTCTCCCTAACCTTGATTCACTTCTGTCTATGCTCTCAATTATTGACCCTGCCATCACACCAGTTGCTTAGAAGCTTGAGTCTTTCACGACATCCTTACCTCTTATCAACCTCTGATTCATCAGCAAGACCTTCAGTTCTACTTTCAAATTAGATACAGTATTTTTCCATTTTTAGGATCTCTGCAGCAACCATAGTAATCCTTTGGCATGGACAGTACCAGTCTACCTGGGGAGCTTTTAGTCTTGTTTTCTTATATCTGTTGTTTATACAGTGACAAGAGAGTGATATGTTAATTAAATTGTATCACTCTGGTTAAATCTTCTAGTAGTTCAGCAGTTCACTGAGAACAAAATAAAAATTACTTACCATAGCTTTTAAGAGGCTTGATGATTTGGCTTCCAGTGAGTTTTCTGACCTCATCTCATTCACATGCCTCTCTTTTCCTGAGCCTTGGAAATGCCAAGTACATTCCTGTCTTAGGGTCTTTACCTGTTCCTTATGATTATTATCCCAGGTGTCCAAGAGGCTAGTACCTTTCCAACCAGGTTTGGGTCACCTGTAAACACCTTAGTAAAACCTCCCATTCACCAGCCAAAGTCATCCCTTTCCCCACTGTGCTGCTCCCACAGCCCCTCTTTTTAACATTGTAGTATTATTATTCATTCCAAATGACTATGGAAATCTTATTTACTTGTCTTTTCTTCTCAGTGTGATCTGTTAGGGCAAGAACTTTGCCTTCACAGTAGCATAGCTGATGCCAAAAGTGTCTACCACAAAGAAGTCTTCAATACATAGCTGTGACACCTACAAAACATAAATGTCTCCAGATCTCTTAAATCTCAAGTAAAACAAGCTGTTTGTAAGAACTTGGTGAACTTACCTGCAAACTTTTGCTCTGGTACTGGGAAAGGGTAGAATACTGACCTTATTTCAACTTGGCAAAAAATTTAGTTTTCGGCATTTAAAAGACAAGGCAAATCCCACACCTCCTAAAAAATTTAGAAGGGCACTGCACCAAGAATCATTCCATCATTCTTCTAGTTTAGTTGAATTTGGTACATCAGGAAAGAGGACCACAGATGAAAAGGACCACCTTACAATTAGCAGGGAAAAACATCAACTTGATCAAACCACCAGATACAGAGAGCAAATTCAAATCCCTTTTAGAGTTGTGAGGGGCACTAATTTCATTGGGCACCTCAATATCCCATTCCTGACTGAACATAATTGCAAAAAAAAAAAAAAAAAAGTACCTTGTAATATCCTGTGCTAACTAGAAGTCAATACTAAAAAACAATTAGGGCAAAGTAAAATGTAGTGCAATACTAAAGAAATCATTCATTGAGTGCTTGGGAGTGCTTTGGCAGGCCAGAGGAAGCACCACGGAAATGGGAAAGTGAGAAGCAAAACTGGCTAAGTCTGCAACAGGAAAATGCTGAGCCCCTGGCTTAAAATCTACTAAAAATTCTGAAACTGCGACAGCAGAATGTGGCAGCAAAGCACGACACAGAACAGGGCCCTTGTGAAAGCTGGGCCCCATGCAGTTAGGGTCACACACCGAGGAGGACCACCTTGGCAGGAGCACAATCTTCAAGGACCAGGAACGCTCCTTGCTGCCCTGCCACCGAAGTAGCCACCGCTGTCCACGTACCAGCGGGTCAGGCCCTGTTGGCCTTGACGCTGGTCCTGCTGCTGGGGCGCAGCTCGGAGCACCTTTCCTACTGACAGAGGAGAAAAGCCAAGGGTTTCTGAGGCTCGGAAGTCGAAGCTCCAGACACGGAGTGAGGCAGAGGCAGGGAAGCCTAAGATGATGCCCCTCTTGCCAACCTTTTAGAGTCACAGCTGCTTTTCTTTCCAGAGAATACCCTCTCCGGAATCCAGCCACCTGTGCGCTGGGCTGGGCGGAGCAGGGGGCTGGGCTTCAGGGTGTGCCAGACAGACAAGGGGAAAGGTAGCCCGAGGTCTACACACATTCCTATGGGTTGGCTCTCTACCCTCTCTTGGCAACAACCTCTACGCCAGGGGCTCTGGAGGGCTCGTTCTTTTCCACCCGCCGTGGGCACTGTGAGAGCGAGACCCTTAGCAAGCCCGGGCCTCAGCGCTTCTGAGCGCCTCGGGTCGCCCCACTCGTAGCAGCCTTAGGCAGCCTTGGAGCGCTTGGAAGAAGTGGCCGGGACTCCGGGGACTGGAAGTTCGCAGCCTCGGGCACCGGGGCGCTGCAGGGGCGCCGGGTCAGCAGTCTGGGCAGCGGGGCCGGCGGAGACCGGGTCCCCACAAGAAGGGACAGACTTGGC